TCCGTTATCATTGGTCGCAGGGGTCAGATCGAAATGCAGCCTGCTCGTTGTCAATAAAGTTGCACCCTTTCAAACATCATTTATACTACTTTTAAGTACCTGCTATCATCTGTTACACATTTTTGGTTTCCTGACGTGCGTTCTATCTGTAATTGGCTGTTTTTGTCCCTGTTTTGTCCCAGGTGATGGTTTTTGTACATGCCAGAGGGGAAACCTCGAAAACGGCCCGTTGGATTCGTGATGCAGCTTCACAGAGAGGCGATCTGGCGAGCTTTCAACCTCTGACAACCAACACTGTTGACCTCTTCAAAAGAGTCAGTCTTCTTCTTGTTTTGCTTCTCCTGTTGCTGTTGCTTTTTGGGCAGTTCTTGAAACGTTATGAGATAAGGAATTGACTGCTTCGGTCTGCTTGATGGAGAGCCCAATATTAGAATACGTGCTACTAACTACATGTAAGTAGTTTGGGTGGTTGCCAACGCCGAAGTTCGTTTTGTGTCGCATACACCGTCCCCGCAGGACGGCCTTTGCACGAGTTTTTAATGATTGCCGACTTGTACTAAATTCAGCTCGCAGTTTTTTCTCCTATTTATCTGCCCCTGATGGCGAGGCAGACTCATGACGGCGATCGTTGGCTCGGGCGTTGTGGCTAAGAAGACCCGTCTACGTGGGGCACAGATGAGACTGCCACTGGGTCTAATCCTCAGCCCTCCCATCACTCACTCAACTCACAGATTCTAATAATCACAAGCATCTGGTCTTCGCTGTTTTGTCGATTCTGCTTGAGGAACGCTGCTGCCTATTCGGAACGTTTTGTCTGTCATCAGCTACGTTGAACTATTGGGTTTCGTGCAGCGAAAGCGGATGTTTAACTGCCTAGGCAGTTAGCACAATTATCCAGATTTTCAGTAGAAATCTGCCGCAAAGGGACAATCTATACGATTTGTGCGCTTATCCTGAAAAATTCAACCGCTTGCAGACAGGGAAGGCTGAAAAGAAATTGCGAATATTTGGACCTATGCATTTTACTCGACCGTAAAGGCATCGCGTGACCCTAATAACCGCATTGCTGGTTAACGAAAGAATTCATTACTATCCGTTTTTGCAAGGTTTGAGCTTAAAGGAGCTTTGCAAAATCAATCCAGACTATTGAAGCGTGCAACACTTAGCCTTTACTACCAGCTTACAGCATCAAAAATGGTCCCTGTGGCTGATATCTACCACGGGTCCCAGCAATCTTCTTTTAAATCTCTAGATCATTGATTGATTCATGATTCTTGTACTTTTTCCAGCTTCCCCACTGCCATGATGCGACCACTCGGGAATTGGCCGTTGAGGGCATTGCCTGTCATCACGCCGGTATGCTAAGACCTGACAGACGGCTTGTTGAGCAGCTCTTCTCCAATCGCGTTATTCGGGTCCTTGTGTGTACTGCTACCTTGGCCTGGGGTGTGAACCTGCCCGCGCACGCTGTGATCATTAAGGGCACGAAGATCTACGATGCGGACAAGTCTGATTTTGTTGATCTTGATATTCTGGATGTCGTTCAGGTAGGTGTGGAGTTATGTATACACTTAATATATCATGCTACTTAATATTTGCAAGTAACCCTTTTGTG